ATTGCTTAAAATTTTTTCCTGTAAACTGCAGTAGGAAGAGAAACTTGCAAGTCCAAAGGCCTGAACACCTCAGAACAGAACTACTTTTGGACTCCACCCTACTTGAAGACGGAACAGCAAAACTCCAAGTATACAAAGCTGGTCTCTGAAACTTTCCGCTCTTCTTACTGGGCCCTTCACCTCTTCCCCCATCTTTAAAATTTAATTCCTTCAGTGCTCTTCACCCCTAACCCTATCTCCAAACAAAACAAAATCTTTTATGTATCTGTTGACTAATTACAGCTTTACTTTAAACTAAAATATTACATTTACATGAAAACGTCACTTACACCAGACATTTTCTAAGACTTTCTCCCAAAACTTGAAATGAGAATTAAGTTCTCCCCTGGTAAGGGGAGAGTTTTTTGTTTTGTTTTTACCAAGAGACCCTCTCATATCACAGTAAATCCATCCCATGGCAGATCAAATTTAGTCATTCTCTCAGAATAATGCACATGTAGGAGAATGAGAGAAAGCAAGAAACTGCTGTTAATTTTGTTAAGGCATGATAATGGTATTATGAATATGTCAAAAATAACATTATCTGTTAGAAATTCATACTGAGGCATTTAAATGAAATTATGTGATATACGGGATCTGCTTCAAAATATTTTAGTTTGAAAAAGGACACAGGGGAAGGGAGATGAAACAAAATACTGATAACTGTTGAGGGCAAGTGACAAGTACCTGAGAGTACATTATTCTTTTCTGCTTTATGTATGTATAAAAATTTCTATAGTAAAATACTTTTAAAAAAGAGAAACTGTTCTCCTCCTCTCAGGCAGTCTTTTGTCCCTTCACTTTTTCTTCATAGCACTTTTATTTCTAAGGTTATTTGATTAATGCTTGTCTCCTTGACTAGACTTTAAGCTCCATGAGGATCACATGGATGTTTGTTTAGCTTCTGTAGAATCCCAACCCTCTCACAGAGTTTCTGGCATGTGAGAGGCATTGACAAATATTTACTAAGTAAATGATGAAGTCAGTAAAATTAATTCATATTATGCCCCTAGATCAATAAAGACTGAACAAATAAAAGGGGGGATGATAGAAAGTTAGGGACTTTTGGTTGAAGGAATTGAATATATTTACCTACATGTATTTACCATTTAGGTTCACATGCTTTTCTATTAAAAATGCGGTTAAGATGTCACAAAATAGATTTAACTTCATCTAGCCGAGTTCCAGAAGAAACATCTACTTCTGCTTTATTGACTACACCAAAGCCTTTGACTGTGTGGATCACAACAAACTGTGGAAAACTAAGAGATGGGAATACCAGACCACCTGACCTGCCTCTTGAGAAACCTGTGTACAGGTCAGGAAGCAACAGTTAGAACTGGACATGGAACAACAGACTGGTTCCAAACAGGAAAAGGAGTACATCAAGGCTGTATATTGTCATCCTGCTTATTTAACTTCTTTGCAGAACACATCATGTGAAATGCCAGGCTGGATGAAGCACAAGATGGAATCAAGATTGCCGGGAGAAATATCATTAACCTCAGATACACAGATGACACCACCCTTACGGCAGAAAGTGAAGAAGAACTAAAGAGCCTCTTGATGAAAGTGAAAGAGGAGAGTGAAAAAGCTGGCTTAAAACTCAACATTCAGAAAACTAAGATCATGGCATCCAGTCCCATCACTTCATGGCAAGCAGATGGGGAAACAATGGAAACAGTGACAGACTTTATTTTTTGGGGCTCCAAAATCACTGCAGATGGTGACTGCAGCCATTTAAAAGATGCTTGCTCCTTGAAAGAAAAGCTATGACCAACCTAGACAGCATACTAAAAAGCAGATACATTACTTTGCTGACAAAGGTCTGTCTAGTCAAGGCTGTGGTTTTTCCAGCGGTCATGTATGGATGTGAGAGTTGGACTATAACGAAAGCTGAGTGCCGTAGACTTGATGCTTTTGAACTGTGGTGTGGGAGAAGACTCTTGAGAGCCTCTTGGACTGCAAGGAGATCCAAGGAGGTCCATCCTAAAGGAAATCAGTCCTGAATATCCATTGGAAGGACTGATGTTGAAGTTGAAACTCCAATACTTTGGCTACCTGATGTGAAGAATTGACTCATTGGAAAAGACCCTGATGCTAGGAAAGATTGAAGATGGGAAGAGAAGGGGACGACAGAGGATGAGATGGTTGGAAAGCATCACCAACTCGATGGACCCGAGTTTGAGTGAGCTCTGGGAGTTGGTGATCAACAAGGAAGCCTGGTATGCTGTAGTCCATGGGGTCACAAAGAGTCAGACACTACTGAGTCACTAAACTGAAACTGATCTTATCCTCACTACATTCACGTGATGACACAGCTAAGAACTACAATTTCTACTTTATGATAAGGAAACTATGGAACCAGAAAATTACGAAATTTTTTCAAGGTCATAATGAATCAGATGCACAAATGAACAAAGCTCAGCTCTGTCCTCATGCCTCACCCTGTTCCCAAAGGAACATGATTTTAAAGAAAATCAGGGACTTCCCTGGCTGTCCAGTGTTTAAGACTCCACGCTCACAATGCTCAAAGCCTGGTCAGGAAACTGACCTGCAAGCCACACGGCACTGCCAAAAACAACAGAAATAAATAAAATAAAACTGAAAAGATAATAAAAATAAAAAATGAAAGGAGTATTGTATATGTTAATTCAACTTTCAGTGACTGAGAAACTGAACAGATAGCTGTACAATAGTCTTAGATGAAAATATTTTTCTTTGACTTCATCCAAAACAATTTACAGGTTGAAGCACCTAGTGGAAGGAAAAAAAAAAAAAAGCAAGAATACTGGAGTGGGTAGCCATTCCCCTCTCCAGGGAATCTTCCCAATTCAGGGATGAAACCCAGGTTTCCCACACTGCGGGCATTCTTTACCATCTGAGCCACCAGGGAAGCCCCAAACGGTAGAAGTAGTATTAAAAGCAAAAGCTGAACCATTTAAGCAATGGAGAACAGAAAAAGGCATGACAGTGAGTAATGTGAAGGCCTTTTTATTCAGCGGGTTAAACTGAAAAGGTATGGTGAAGGACAACTAACAAGAACATTCCTAAAGAGAATAAATACTAATACCAAGACAATGTTTAAAACACCAGTGCTCCAGGTTCCCAAGTTCTAAAGTTATCACAAATATAATACTATAATCAACAAAGTTTTCTATTTAATCATTATTTTATATAGAAGTAGCCTACTAATATATCACTATGCCCCCAAGTCCTTTTGAAATGCTGAAGACCTGAGTTTACCTTAATTATGTAATGGATAATGATGCACACGGAGAAGGCAATGGCACCCCACTCCAGTACTCTTGCCTGGAAAATCCCAAGGACAGAGGAGCCTGGTAGGCTGCCGTCTATGGGGTTGCACAGAGTCGGACAAGACTGAAGCGACTTAGCAGCAGCAGCAGCAGCAATGATGCACACATTCTGGAAGGCAGAATTACTAAATGTCTGCCATTAACAGAAGCCTAACTATTTGTAAAACTAACCTTAACTCAGCCAATCTGAAAGTTCTTATGCTACGGTGCCAAAAAAATGTCACAACCACATGTGTGGAGAACGTTGAGAACCAAACGAATCAAAGTCTAAAAGTGTGGCACAAAATCTAAAAAAAAAAAAAAAAAAAAGCTAGACAGTTTTAGTTAAGAAAAAACATTTTAAATATCTCAAACTCCGGAAAGTGGTTTGTTTTCCTTTTTTTTTCCCTCGTCACATAAAGGGTTACAAAGAGGTATCTGGCCTGGATTGAATTCTACACTGGGTTGCTCTACTGTTACTCGTGGCATAATTACCACTGGTAGAGTTGCTACAAAGGCTCAGAACATTCCATTTTACTCCTATATTCTTCATTTCATGAGCTGTCAATCAAGCTTCCAACTTGAAGTACATCACTCATTGCAGAGTAATGATTCACACATGCAATTTCCAAACTAAAATGAAAGATTTACTTGCCCCACGACGGTTTCTTCTCAACTTTTAAAATAATTGATAAAAGCACCACCTGAGTATGAATTCCCATCCCAAAATAATCTATGGATACGTTTAAGCATTTTACTATACGTGGTAAAGGACTACTGTCCTCTGAATGCAGACAGAACTGCTGACCCACGCGAAGAATTGATTTGTAGTTGTTTTTCCACTTGGGTGATGGATTTGCGCTCAGCTACTCATGGTGTCTACTAGGTCCCCCTGGCGACTAACAGTACATGAAAGCTGTAGTAGGGTTCGAAGACACAGACTGGCAGCGGAATAGAGGGTGGAACGGGAAATTATGAAAAATTAACACGCGGATAGTATACATGACATAACAGAATTACATCTGCATTGCTGGGGTATTCGTGAGCCGCATAAGACATTGTCCCCTTCCTTTTAAAACGCAAACATCCATCCGCCTCGCTTGAGCCCTTGCTCCCGTTTAAATCTCGGGTGTGATGGAGATCGAACCAAGTGGTTCAGCCCGAGGCACATGCCGCTTCACCAGGGTTTGAAGAAAACACTGATGTGACAATTTGTCATAATTTTCTAAAATATGGAGGAATGATATACCACCTTTCCTACCACCTACTGAGGACTCAGGACTGAGCCGAGAACAGCCGCCCTGCGGGGCCCACCAGGGAAGGGGGAGGAGAGCAATGGACCAGGGAGAAGACCGCGGCACGTCCCGAGCCCAGACTGCGGAGCCCCAAACGCGAGGGGCGTGGGGTCGCACCCGGGTCACGTCCTGGGGCTCTCGGGATGCGAGGCGCCGAGGGCGAGCCGGGACCGGTCGGGACGCTGGGGGGGCGGCGGGACAGCGCCGCGGTGGAGGCTGCGGCGCCCGGTCAGCGAGGGAGGGCGCGCCGCCAGGTGCCGGACGGCAGGGGGCAGCGGGGTTCGGGCGGGCGCCGACCCAAGGAGGGAGGAGGAAGGCGGGCAAGTCCCGCGCAGAGAGCGGGCGTGCGGCGGGCTCGCCGCCGGCCTACCTGGAGGTAACAGGGCTTCCTTAGCCAGGCCCCCGGACAGAGACTCCTCGCCATGGTAATCACACATCGCCCCGCCGCGCCGCAGTCAGAGGCGGACCCGAGCGCCGGCGACCCGGCTCCCCGCCTTTCCCCGCCTCCCCGCCCCCAGTCCGGCCGGGCCCGCCCACTCCTCCGCCCCCGTCGCGGCGCGAGCCGCGCTCCCCCCGGCCCCGCTGCGGCGACGGCGGCCGGCGGCCCGAGGCCCGGCCTCCTGCTCGGCTCGCCCGGCTGCCGCGGTTGTCAGAGCCGCCGCTGCCGGCTCCGCCATAAAGGGGAGTCGCGCCTCGCTCGGCCGACACAAATCCAACTGCGCCTCGCGCTTAAAGGGGAGGCGTGCGGAGGAAGGAGGGGGCGCCGCGGGAGCCGGGTGTCGCTTGCTTGGCGCCGGGAGGGGAAGGCCGGGGAGCCCAGCTCGCCGAACACGCCGAGCTAAGTGGCTGCTCCCGGCTACCCACTCCCCTGGCCGCGCGTCCCGCCACCCCGCCCTCCAGGTCTGACGCTCCGTTTGGACTCTGCTCCTTCAGCCCGGACGTGTCTGGGCGGGTTGCGTGGAAATTCAAGGGAAGCTTGGGGCTCCTTCCCTGGGGACCGGCTTTTTCCTCCCTCGCGTACCGTGGCCCGTGCGGCCGCGGGAGCAACCGACTGGCGCATCTCCTGAGTCAAAGCAGACGGGGCTCCCCTCTACTGAATGTAACCTGCCCCCACATCCAGCCTTAAACTCTTACAGCCTTAAACTTGTTTTCCTGAGTACTTTTTAAAGTCTGACCTTTTTGGTTTGAATTGCTTTAAACAGTTTTAGAGTTTTCCTGGCCCTACCCACGAACCTTGAGTCAAAAGAGAAAAAGACAACCATTACTAAATTAAATACAGTTCTGAAGTCAGGAGACCCGGGACGTGGCACAGCTACTCCGCTAAGGCTACATAACACAGGGTGTGGTGTCTTTCTTTTGACAGTGAAGTCCAAATAAGGAAAAAAACAGCCATCCTAGCGGGAGAACAGCTGTTGATTCTAGTGACTTGTAAGAAGATGCATTTTTGCTTCTTTTTGCCCCATAGGTTGCCACTTAGAACTCGGGCCTCTTGCTCTGACAAGAGGTTTCCTTAGGAGCAAAACTTGACTAACTCTCACTGTGGTTTTTACTTAAGCTTTGTTCTAGTGCTTTCCGTTTCTGAAGAATTGAGTTCTTGCCCGCCCCTCCCCCAACCCAAGCACAAACAGGTTTAAAACCTGTGTGGTATTTTATTGCTGCAAATAAACCCGTTTTTCATTGATCTTTCAGCTTGGGTTAAAAGATTTCAGTAATTTCTGAGTATGATAAGTACTGGTTTAATTCGTTCTTTCATTCATTCAATAAACAAATATTAATTGAGCCCCTGGACATTGTTCTAGTTGATTGAATTATATACCTGAGAAAAACACAAAACCCTCAGCCCTTGTGGGTATTACATTCTGAAAGTGAGGGCAGCAGGCAATAAGTAATACATAAGAAAATCAAATAGGATAATAAAGCCGATAGGGGATATGTTAAAAAAAGAAAACAAACCAGTGGAGATGAGGAAGACTACAGGTAGAGTTGGTTAGAGGAGAAAGATCAGGAATTTGGTATCGGACTTTTTTACATTCAACATATCTACTGGAAATTCAAGTGGAGATCTTAAGTAGGCAGTTGTACATGGGAGTGTAGTGTTAAGAAGAGTGGTCCAAGCTACCATATGCAGCATAAGAGATATCAACATTTTTTTTAAAAAGATGAGAGTTATGTTTTATTCTGTGACCTTACTGAGGACTACAGCCCAGGATATAAAGGAGTTTTTGCCAGCTCAGTAGTATGATCTAAAAGTCATCAGAAACTTAGATTTGTCCAAAAGTAGAGATATTAAATGATATTTAAAGTCACAAGGAAGTGAATATAAATAGAAGAGAACCAAAGATGAAACCTTGTAACTTCAAGGCAGGAGAGTGGATGAGTCACCGAAGGAGAATGAAAAGGAACAGCCAGTGAAGTTGGTGAGCTGAGAGTGAGGTGCCTGGAAGTCAAGTGAATATAATATTATCAAGGAGGTGTTAGAGCTTCCATGTGAGTGAGGCAGTGAGGACTGAGAAATAACTACTGGATTTAGTACCATGGAGGCTATGGGAAATGGGAAAAAAAAAAACTTGAGTGGGTTTAAGAGAAAATTGAAGGAGAGAAATTGGAGATACTAATATTATAGGCAATTCTTTTTAGAAGTTCTCCTGCAGAAGGGAGCCCAAAAATGATCATGGGGAGCCCACCACAGTTAACTGGTGCTGGAAGTGGAGTCAAAAATAGGTTGGCCAAAAAATTGAAATATTTGTTTCAATGAGAATGATCTAGAAGAGAAGGAAATTTTTATGAAGGAGCAAGAAGAGAGAATTGCTAGAATGGTGCCTTTGAACGGGGAGAAGTTTATGATCTAGGACACAAATGAAAGGATTATCTGTAGACAGGAGTACAGACTCTTCATCTGTGAAAACTGGAGGGAAGGTCATAGGAGCGGTAGTGAGAATCTGGAAGTTCTCTTCTGATTGTTTTTTTCAGAGACATATGATGTAAGGTCATCAGGGAAGAGGAGATTCGGAAGAGTAACTGAAGGTGATGAGAAGAGAAGCGAAGATGTGAAATATTCATCCAGGAGAATGGAAAGATGAATATACTAAGAAAGAAAATATATCATAGGCTTGCTGAGTGTCATTAAGAGCCCACTTGAGTTCATGGTCATAAATTTAAGTGGGATAAGTCAGTGTGTTTGTCCTTTCTTCCTCCAGCAGTAATTGACTAAGCCAGGATGCAGGCTCAAAGTAAGCTTAGAATTCTATGCAATTAGGTTTTTACCAAGGAAATAGGAGCAAGGACAGAGGCACAAGGAAGTCAACGATGTAAGGGAGTGAGTAAGATTCACCACGAGTTTTAAGATGAGGGAATAGTAGATGGAGAGACTAAGGTCAGAAAAAATGTGGTTGGATCAGTGAATTGCAGGTCCTTTCGGGGTTGAGGAACTGTAAGAGTCCAACAACAAGAGGGAATGATCTGAAAATATAGGTGTAACATAAAGGGTCTGGCTCCATTTTTGACATTTGATGACAGCTTTCAAGCCCCACCACTTCTTTGCTCCCTGTGTCCCACATCTGGGAAAACTGATTAGAAAGCCCACCTGCTCACCCCTTTGGTGCCCATGGAAAGTTCAAAGTATACAAGAGCCTGTCCACATGAGGGATACTTGACCCTGCCCCCCACACCCACCCCAAACACCATAAACCCTAAGAAAGTCTCCTCTTTGTGCTCCCTCAAGTCATATTCAGACCAGCTTGGAGACTGCCCTGCTCTCCTCAGAAAACTTCTCTACATGTGTAATAAACTTTTTCATACTCTGAAAAAGTTGATACATGTGTAGCATGATCAATCTCTACATCCCAAACAAAATTTAGGTGGAGGAATCTATCTCAAGTCTGCAGAATGACCATAACAATGTGGCGGTTTGAGTGGGATGCATGCAATAAAGATTATGGAGAAGTGATGAAGTTAATTTGACAATGCCAATGAATGACTAAGGAGTCTGGAATACAGTGTCATTGGAAGACAGTCAAAGAGGGAGTATCATGAGGATTCTCTCCATACATATTAAAAACAGCAAGATTTAGGACAAGAGAGATATTGGATAGGAAATGTGTGCTAAACCTCTTCAGTTGTATCTGACTCTGTGCAACCTATGGACTGCAGCCTGCCAGGCTCCTCTGTCCATGGGATTCTCCAGGAATACTGGAGTGGGTTGCTGTGCCCTCCGCCAGGCAATCTTCCCGACCCAGGGATCAAACCTGCGTTTCTTATATCTTCCTGCATTAGCAGGCTGGCTCTTTACCACTAGCACCACCTAGGAAACCCCCTGGATAGGATGCCAGTAGCCAAAAGTTAAGGTCCTTGAGAAATAATTCAGAGTGATCTATGAGTGAGTAGGGGACTATCACAATGAGGAGAGTGAAATGAGTGATATGTCCTCTCATCAGAGGTCATGAGTTAAAGAAACAAATACTTTAGGGGGAGGAATTAGATAGGAGATGGGGATAATAGCCTGAGAGAAGCAATGAAGAGTAAAAAGGATCTCTCTCCCACCTCCAAATCTTCCAAGGGTTCTGGGAAGGTTGCTGGGACAACAACATCCAAAGAGGGTGAGCCAGGTTTGCTTTAGAACAAGAAGGTGAAGAAATAGAGAAGAGATAGAGGATACAAAGGTTTTCGCTGAAGATGAACTGTGAATTCCAGAGGACATAGTGGAAAGAGTCTCAGAAATTGGAGAGTGTGGTAAAGGAGTTCAAAATAGGTGATGTGAAGAGCCCTGAGTGCTTTAGTGGGTGGAAGATGAAGGGTGATCTGGGAGTCTAGGATTTCTTATGGTAAAGGATATAAACAGGAATAATAGGGATAAAGTTTCAACCAAATGAGAAGTGATGGTCAATTTCCATTTAGAATCAACAAAGAGTCAATGTAGGGTTTCCCTGGTGGCTCAGCGGTAAAGAATCCGCTTGCAGTGCGAGTTCCATTCCTGGGTTGGAAAGATCCCCTAGAGAAGGAAATGGCAACCCACTCCAGTGTTCTTGCCTGGGAAATGCCAAGCAAGGAGGAAACTGGCAGGCTTTATACAGTTCCTGGGTTCACAAAAGAGTTGGACATGACTTAGTGACTAAAACAACAAAAAAACAGCAAAAAGAATCAATGTAGTTAACATTTTCTTATTCAAAAGGGGGAAATTAGTTTTCTATTCATTTTCATTTTCAATTCTCATTTGAGTAGTTTCTCTTGTCATCCCATATAGAGCAGCAGCTACCCTAGGGTCCATCCTGGGAACCTCCTAGGTGGGTTTGATGAGCTCTCATACCTTTGGACTTACACTTTTTGCTTTAAATCTACATGTGAGTCCCAAGATGGATCCAAGCAGGTTGACCTGTGGCCAATTTCGGTAGGAAATATTCTACCTCTTGACCTGGCTCTCCTTCCCACATGCATTACAGCTGCCCTGTGAATTCTTGATGTCATATGGTGGGACTACCTTACAAACATCCAAATTTACCTGTTTACCTAGCATCCATTCTTGTGAACGTAAAGTCTGTTTTTCTAAGTAAAATCTAGGTAATACAAAACTAATGGTTGTGTAGCTGATCCATATGGTTGTGTTCAGAGGTAATTTGTGGCCTCTTAGTCCTCATATATAGCATAACTTTGGATATCCAGAGACAAAAGAGCAACTCCAGTGGTTTCAAATATAGAAAAATCAAGATCAGTGGTCTTTAGACCTTTTTGCTTC